AGATCAAAATGGTTTTATACAAGGTAGATAGATGTTGGATCCAATGAGGAAGGTGCTTAACTCGATTTATTTAGCAAAAGAATCAAAATGTAAGGCAGGTGTAATATCCCTAGATATCTTCAAAGCTTTTGATTTGGTTGAATGGGATCCATTAAAAATACAGTCATGCCCCGCTTAACGATTACCCCATATAATGACGAATCCACTTCACAACAAGGTTTTTGCGATCGCAATTGCGATTGCAGTTCCCTGCTTCGGGAAGCAATTCTTCGCATTATGACGGTCAAAACAGCTGATCGTCGGGTTTTCAAAATGGCCACCGGCTGCTCAAAATGGCTCCCCGCTGTTTTTAGGAGGCATTTTTCACAAGACAGGCACCCGAAAATGGCCGCCGTATGGAGGATCTTCGCTGGACGAGCAGGTATTCAGCTTATTGGAACGCATTGAACGGTTTTCAATGCATTTCTGTGGCCTTTTTTATTTCGCTTTATGACGTTTTCACTCTACAGTGGTTTCGCTGGAACGAATTAATGTCGTCAAGCGAGGCACCACTGTATTGCTTAAACAGATAGGATTCGGTACTGAATTTAGACAAATATTTCATCAATTACATTCACAGAACTGCAAAAATAATACAGTGGTGCCCTGCTTGACGACGACCACGCTTGATGACAAAATTGCTTGACAACGAAATCGCTTGAGGAGTTTTTTGCAATCGCTATTGCGGTCGCAAAATGATGGTTCCAATGGATTTTTTTGCTTTGCATTGATTAGGTCCCTGCTTCGCGAACCGTTTGTTCGCTAAATGACAATTTTTCCCATTCTGCAAAATGGCTTCCCTTTGCAAAATGGCTTCCCTCCCTTTGCAAAATGGCTGTTTTCTGGACCCCTGTTTCGGAAGACAGCAATTTTAAACAGCTGATCGGTGGTTTTCTATGGGCGATCTTCGCTGGACAATGAGGTATTTCCCTTTGGAACGCATTAACCGGTTTTCAATGCATTCCAATGGTTTTTTTTTCCGTTTGACGGCAATTTCACTTAACAGCGATTTTCCTGGAATGGATTATTGTCTTCAAGTGGGGTACCACTGTAAATCATGGCATAACCGAATCAATATGTTTAGGCCGAGAAACAAGACAGGGCTGCCCCTTATCTCCAACTTTATTTATATTGATAATAGAAGTGCTGGCACAAGTGATGAGAAATGATAGTTTAATTAAAGGTGTAGACAATAGAGAGGAGAATAAAATAAATCTTTTTGCGGATGACACACTATTAATAATTAAAACCCCAAATGAAACACTGCAGATTATTAGAACAAATTTGAATCATTTTGGAGAAATACTGGGTTTTAAAGTAAATTGGGAGAAATCAGAATGTATTTTATTAAGTCATTCAGAAGTAGATGAGAAAGAAATGAAAAAAGAATTTAAGGGAAGAATTGAAAGTATAATTAAATACCTAGGTACAGTAGTTATATTACATGGAATACACAGGAAACAAAGCAAATATGGATAAATTGAAGAAAGAAATTAATGAACAGATAAATAAATATTAAAAAAGTAAAATTATCATGGTTTGGAAGAATAGCATTAACTAAAATGAAGATCATCCCTAAACTTAATTTTATGTTTTGGATGCTCGCAATAAAGATTGGAGAAATATATTTGAAAAATTGGCAGAACGTGATAGTTATTGTAATAGAAATAAAAGAATAAGAATTAATAAGAAACTATGGTACATTCTACAAAAAGAAGGAGGGCTTGGATTAAAAAATGTTAAAACATATTACATTGCAAACCAGTTTAGACATATTCCAGATATTATTGTATATAATAGAAGCTTAATTTGGAGGAAACTGGAAATGCAAATTTTTTTTGATAGATTGGAGAATATCTTTAAAGAAAAATAGCAGAAGAAATAAAGAGAATAACTAATCCTTTTTTGAAGTATTTGTTAGAATGCTAGAAAGAATATAGATACATATTGAGTCCACTTATCTCACCTTTACAACAAGTAGTGGAGGCTCGGAATTTCCTCCAAATCCTTAAAACTAAACTTAAAGAAGTATTAGTAGAGAAAGGGTTAAATACAATAAGGGCTTGGATGAAAAAGATGAAAGATAAAAATACTAAAAAGGAAATTTTGGGAGAGGAAGAGGGGATATCTTGGATAAATATACTTCAAATGGAAAGTTGGATAAGGGAGTGGACCAGGAAAGTTGGAGAAATTAGAAGATTGTCTAAATTCGTGGAGATTATAGAGCAGGGGTCTCAAACATGCCGCCCGGGGGCCATTTGCAGCCCCCCAGTTGATAGTTTGTGGCCCTCGCCTTGCCTGCCCCCCCCCAAAGCACCCACACATCCTCTGCTGTCAAGAGTAAAAAAAAGCCTTGCCTCGCTCGCCGGCTCTCTCCCAAGACAGCACCTCTTGCACCCTCCATCCAGAACTGCAGCCTGCCAGCCAGCCCACCTGTCTGTCGTTTAAAGAAACTCCTGGGCGGCTTCCTCGGGCTCTTGCTCCGCTTGGTGGAAAATCTGATGCGGCCCAGCCTCACCCAGACTCTGCCTCTAGCGGCCCCCAGGTAAATTGAGTTTAAAACCCCTGTTATAGAGCAAAGACAAGATCAAAAGGAAGGAAATAAAAGAAAGGGCACAGTGTGATTTATAAGATTTTAATAAATGTTGGATATGAAAAAGCTGGGATAAACAATCAGTGGCAAGAGGACTTAGAGGAAGAGGTTAAAAGTGAGGATTGGAACCAAATATGGTCACAGAGAATAATGAAGGATATATCTATAAGGGTAAAAGAAAATTGTTATAAGGTTGCATGGAGATGGTACCTTACCCCAGCAAGATTGAATATTATAAATAAAAATGTACCATCTCAATGCTGGAGATGTAAGAAGGGAAAAGGTAGTTATTTACATATGTTGTGGACTTGTGAAATAAGAAAGAAAGAATAGGCACTGATTTTTAAAGAAATTAGAGAAATTATTGGAAATAATATTCAAATATTACCAACTATTGCCCTTTTATAATCAAGAATGACCATCTTAAAAAAAGAGCAGAAAGAGTTAATCGTAATAATGGTCACAGCAGCAAGATTAATATTTGCAAAAAATTGGAAAAATGACAAGTCAACCTTGAAGATTGGTATAAAGAAAATGTGGAGTTCAGCAATAAATGATAAGCTAATGTGAAATAAAAGTAAGAAAGAGTATGATAAAATAGAATGATTTTAAAGATATAAGGAATCCATATTTGAATTATGTTCTTGTTAAAGGGAAAGGTCAGTGGGAGTGGAATGGGGTGAAAAGTGATTAAAAGGAAATATTTTCTTATCTGGTCCTGAGGGTGATGCTGGTGCAGGGGGAAAATTTTTGTATTAGTGCATGCCATGTATGTATACACACTTTATGTTAGTATTGTTCTTATTGTTTTTCTTTAATTAATTAAAAAACACAAATATCCATGTGGGGATTTGCAGATTGCCAACAAGAATGTACTGCAATGCTGTGTGCCTTTTGCCTTTTGCAGGCATAACAAAGAATTTTGGTCAATCAGTGGTTGGAGTTAAGTGCTAGATAGTTGCAGGGAGATGCAAGCCATATCCCACCAGTAGTCCAAAGGCTATTAGGATAAAGCACAATAGTACTGTATTTTTCCATGTACATATAAGATCCTACTTTTTCCTAAAATCGTTAGACTAAAAATTGAGTGTCATCTTATACACAGAAGTAAGCCGAGGAGAGAATCGTGCAATTGCAAAACAGCCCATACCTTGCCTCTGCAAACAGGCTGCCTCCAATGAAGAGGCTTAGCTTCCTACAGTCAGGAAACTTAGCTTCCTCCAATCATGAGCCTTATGTAACTGATGTCAGCTGATGCTGAACAAACCAATTGCAACAGTGCTCAGATGCAACAGGGACTCCTAATGTCCGAGTGTTCTGAGCCCAGAGGCTAGATAAAGTTAAAGTGTGATGCACAATATGACAGTACTGGTATGTAAATGTTGCCTAATTACTAAATAAAATGTGGTCTGCTTTATGTTTAAAATATTGTTTTCTTAATTTGGGGTTAGAAAAGTGGGGGGTCTTATACACAGAAAAAATATGGTACATGTTTGCTTTTTCATTAAGTGGAGTGGGGCTTTTGACAATAAGGTCAGTTACACTTCTTGGCCTCTCTGGCATATGCATAGGTGTTTTGCACTGATACAGAGTCTCTTCTAGAACTGACTTATTTTAGATCTATGATAGATCCCAGTGCTCTTTGTCTTCTGGTAGCAGTTGAAATCTGTATATCCATCCTTCTTATTTTAATGTTAACCTGTAACTTTTTCTGACTCCGCTGGATAGGATGGGAAATAAATTTTTATTAAATAAACAATCATATATTTATTGGTTTTCATTCGTTGACTGTGAAGCAGTCAGCTGCTACTGAGTAACCAAAAGGACTTTTCCTCCTTAGGTTAGATTCCTTCTATTATCTCAGATTAATTTTGTATGTATTTTGGTGCATTTCTAGGATGATGATGTTAAGAGTTATATTTTCTAATGCAAATATCATTCCAGCTCTGCATTTCTAAGATGATGATGATGATGATGATGATGATGATGATGATGATGAAGAAGTAAGCATATATCCAGGAGATAGGAGTTTGAGCGTTCTTTTGTTTCTATAAGACTACAAATCTCATTGTTTTAGTCAGTCTTGTCTTTGTTCTGACATGGGAATGGTTAGAGGAAAGTAGAGAAGGCCAGGTCATGTACTCTCAAATGTTATTCTGTTGTTTCTAAGGCAGAAAAAACGTTAATACTTATTGATCTCTGACACTATCATCAGACATCTGTTGAACATTTGTTTGATTTGGAAAAGAATATTTATCAGTGTGGAATTCTGTACTTTCCCTGCCTGTCTCATGCTTTGAGAAACAGTGGTGAAGATTCTTAAGAGAATACTTTACTTTTCATTGTCTGTGTTTATATTTCAATGCAGACAAAGAGAGCCATCCACCTCGGAAATTTCCTTCTGACAAGATATTTGAAGCCATTTCTTCAATGTTTCCAGATAAGGGTACAGCAGAAGAACTGAAAGAAAAGTAAGATGATACTTTAAAAAGTGACACAATGCAGCTCTGTTTCTCTAAAAATACTATATCAGGCCATCACAAACAGGGACCACTTCAAGGAAATACAGCTTGGATTATCAAGTATTTGACTGGTCACAATGTGGCATTTGAGTTGGTAGTCTACAAGTTATACAAACCCGCACTACTGAAATTCACAGGATTATTGAAGAGTATGTATTTATATTAGGCCTTGTCAGGAATGGGTCTCCTGAGAGAAGTCATTCCACTAAGGGAAGGAGCCAAACTGTAGTTCCCAGCACCCAGCACCTTTGCAACCTAGACTGGGTGAGATCTAGTAGCTGCGTGTGTGGGCAGCTATGGGCAAGCTTCTGACCCTAGTTTTCCATTTACTCACTTATTTGACCTAGCTATGTACTTTGGTCCTTGCACACCAGCCTTATCAGGTAGGACACCCAAATAACCAAAAATAGCAAATGAAGCCCTTGTGGCAAAGGTACTTGGCTTAGGTGCTCTCACCCTTGCCCTCAAGAATCACACTGGGGTAAAATATAGAATATTTATTAAAAAAGAGTAAAAAGTTATAAAACAAAGAAAATATAAAAAGTTACAATTGTACTTGTTAAATGCAAAGCATCTGGGTATTAAGTGAGCTCCTGGAAGCCTTTCCCATAAAACAATAAAATACTAGCTAGCAGCTTTACTATTTAATTGCTGGCTGTTCTAAGTTATCATAGTTAAGTCTCCAATCCATCAAAGGCTGTAAATCTGTCCTCCATCTTCTCTTTTCCAATTTACACTCACACACCAACTACTTGCTTAACCCCGTTCTTCCATAACATAAACCAAAGTCTCTTTCCCAACTATCACGTCCAATCACATTCCCAGTCCTAATTCCTACATGGTCATGATTTTGTGGTTCTCTACCCTATCCACCCTCATTCCACAGGGATGAGGAGTCCCGAACCAGACATCACTTGGCTCCTGTCAGCTTTCCCCTGGGATTCAGTTTAAATCTGCTCTGCCACTTTTAAAATGTTCTGCGCCAGCAGTCTGGTTCCATGTTCTTTCAAGTGAAGTCCCTTCCTCTTGTATAGGCCCGGCTTATCCAAAACATTCCCCAGTGCCTAATGAATCTAAACACCTCCTCCTGACATCACTGTCTCATCCACGTGTTGAGACCCCTGAACTCCGCCTGCCTAGTTGGCCCTGTGTGTGGAACAGGTAGCACTGCTGAGAACGCTATCATTGAGGTCCTGGCTTCTAGCTTCCTCCCTAACAACCTAAATTTGGCCTCCAGGACCTCACGGCTACATTTCCCCAAGTCATTGCTGACGACATGCACCGCTACTGCTACCTCATCCCCAGCACTCTACCAGCCTATCGAGAGGAAATGTGATGTCAGGAACCTTTGCACCAGGCAAGCATGTCACCGTGCAGTCCTCACAGCCATCACAGACCCTTCACTCTATGTTTCTGACAATCGAATTGCCCACTACCAGAAGATCCGTTCCCCTCCCCACGAGGAGTATCCTCAGTGCAACTCTATATGGGCCTGCCACCAGTAGAGGAGCTGAGGAGCTGCTTGTCTGTGGGTGGGACAATGCCTGAAGGTCCCTGAAGTCACAGTGGCCCCTCTCTCCCTGTCTCTGCTTCTCCCAGTCCACAACTAAGACCTCAAGGGAGCGAACCCATTCCCTCAGTTCTTGGAGGTCCTTGCAATGAGGACACACCTATGACTTTTGCCCATGAGACATATAGTCATACATATGACACTTGGTGCAAAACACGGGATAGCCCCCAACCCACTGCTGTCTGTCTTGACTGCTGTTCCAAGGTCAATAAGCCCAACTCGCAGCAATGCAGGACATCCCAGCTAAAGCCCAGACTCTAATGAAGGAAAATTTATTTGTTTATTTGTTTGTTTGTTTGTTTATTT